CCAGTTTTGTTAAATAAAGAGAGTTTGTGTTCATGAAAATACATGTATTTTATTTGACATCAGGAAGGCGGGTTAGGGATAGGGTAAGTGGGGGATGTGAGGGAGGAATGAGGCACGCTGCGGAGCTGACAATAACTCCTTCATATTTTAAGCCTTGCATTGAGTTTTTCTGTTTCATGTCCCTTTGTTACACATGCAGACAAATACTGATCATAACCAAATCCGCTTCACTCTTTGTATACTTCAGTGATCAGAAAAGCTATATTCGCATTTTATCAACTGGGAATTTTCATCCATCAGAGTCCTTCCTAAGCTGTGTGTGTTTTCAAAATAGTGATAGTAAAATTCACCAGATTGGGCTTTGGTTTTGGCTGCATCGCTCATGAGTCATATGGCTATCCCAAATTTGTGCGATTTAATCTTCTGTATTATCGCACCAGGCAGTGAGTGCCTCAGGCAGCAGCCACACAAAGTAACTCTTGACCTGATGCCCTGCCGGACCTGGTTCCGGCCGGTCTTAAATGCCATTCAGCGTCCACTCAGTGTGGACACGCTATTTCGAAATAGCAAAACGCTATTTCAAAATGCATTTTGTGTGTAGATGCGTTATTTCGAAATAACGCTGTAGTGTAGACAAACCCAAACAATTTTTTTGAGGATGTTCAGCAACTCATCATGGAAGAGATGCCGCGTGTTGAAGCAACAGAAGTAATGCAAGATACATTGCTGTGCAGGTGGGCGGAGTTGTTGGCTAAGTGGGCTGGAGCTGTGGTCATGTGGGTTGGGATGGAGGTGGATCCTTTGGGAAGCTGGTCCCATGCCAATGAAACAGGTTTCCCAGAGCCAAACGGAAAGGTCTGCCCTGGCCCCAAAGCACACAGGCCACACCTCTGGACTGGGGAACTGTATCCAGGCAAACAGTGACTGAGAAAGATTTAGGGGTCAACTCAACACTTAACAAGAGCTCAACAGCCACTCAACACTCAAGCCACATAATAGCAACTCCCAGGGTGATGCTGTGGTGAACCGGGCTAAAACCATCATTAGACACGTGAGCAGAGGAGTGAGCAGAGAGGTGACATAGCATCCATGAGACTGAGATTGGATACTGCAGCCTGGTTTAGGGGCCATGTTTTAAAAAGAGATGCTGAAAAACTGGAGATAGGGCAGCAAAGAGCCCAATGTTTTGAGGGCTGGAGAAAAATGCTTTCTTGTGAACTACTGAAAAGTGACTTTACTTAAGTGTCCAAGTGCCTTTCTGGAGAGAATGTATCCTGCATTAAAGGGCTGTTTAAGGCCACAGAGAAAAGCAGAACAAGACCTACTTGATCCCTGGACTCAGCTGTCATTGGGTGGGATGCTCCGGGGGTAAGGCATTCAAACATCCATAGAAGCTGGCCAGGGTCAGGACACCAGCCTTGAAGGGGAGGAGTGGGTGTTACAGTGACATCACAAAGGTCTGTTGCAAGACCTCAGGTTATTGGGGACAATGGTGGGAAGATGGTGACCTCACAGAGAGACCCTGGCAACAGCCAGGCAGGACAGAAGTACAAGGAAAGGGCAACTTCAGAGACTCCCATGGCTGTGAAGCAGCAAGGCTCCTTCTCAAGTCTCTCCTTGGGAACGGAGAGAGAATTAGGATTCATTTACATGAGCATGAGGAGGAGCTTCGTTGAAGTTTTCTCCTTCTCTACTACTGACGTTGTAGCCCTGTTGAGAAGGTAAGAGCTTCAGTACACAAGCATGAGCTTGGTCGGAGTTTTCTCCTTTTCTACTACTGACTTTATAGCCCTGTTGAGAAGGTAAGAGCTTCAGAGAGATCTGGATCCTGTTCTGTCTGATCCAGCCGTCATCAGCTGAATTTTAGGCATAAAAATCACTTGGTTAAGATAATCAGATTTCCTACAAGGATTCTATCATGTAGAATTATTGGGGGCATTGGGGGTTTGTCCTTTTAGGTTTCCCCTTTCCTCTTTCCATCCCTCTTTCTCTTCTTCTCTTGCTTTTTTTGCCCCCTTTTTCTTTGTTTCCTCCCTCCACCAAGGAAGGGTCTTGTGTGTCAGGGAATCTGCTGTCACTGTGGGGGGCCTTCACAAATAGGTGGGACTGGAATTGCTCTGAAACTGATCCCTTCTGGTGGTGACCTGGGCCATAGTTCAGGATGTCTGCTAGGACCTCTCCACCGCCCACTTCTTGGAGTCTTGATGGTGATTGGCCAAGCAGGGAGGAGAAGTTTCCCAGGTGTGACCCATGGCTGTCCTTTCCTTTTCAGGCTCTGCACAGGGCTTTGTCTGATGTCAGGCAGGCCATGCTGGGGAACCTGCTAGCAGAGTCCCCAGACACAGACAGGCTCCACTTCATCTTAGAGGTGAGCATGGTCAGAAGGGGAAGTGGGCAGTTTTACCTTAATGCTGGAGGAACTGGAAAGGAGAACCTGGAAATCCATTTTCCAGTCTGTCCTCCTAGCCTGCACCCTAGTGGACCATCCTTGGTCAGGGCAGTGCTATGTTGGGCCCTTCTTCCTTCAAGGACAGAAGGAGATGAAACTCCAAGCAAGGGCCTTGGCTGGTTTTGGCCTCAAATCCTTCACTCCTGCCCAACCTCCCTCTGCTGTGCCATGAGATCCAGGAGATTGTGCTCACCAAAGAGTCCTTCCAAGAGAACCAGCAAGGCCCAAAGGGAATTGGCACTGAGATTTGAGAAGGGGGCAGTTTTCCTCACAGTCACTCCCTTCATCTGACCAAGGACTTTCCAGCCAGGAAGGGGTAAGGGGACTGTCTCCATCCTGATGAGCTGCGCATGAATTAAGAGTTCAGAAAGGATGGGACCAGCCCAGACACTAAACACTGTCCCAGTCTGGAGAAACAAAGACAAATTGTGACAGAGCCTTGTTCTGCTTCACCATCCCCCTCCCTGAGTTTGATGTACGTGATTTTAGACCCAGCTTCCTGACTCCAAGCAGGCTGGCTTTGACAGGCTGTAAGACCTGCAGGGGCTGTGGGTTGGGAGGGTTCTTCTAGAGAGGGCAGTGTCAGAGGAGGGAATGAGATAGATTAGAGTCAAGTTCATCTTCTCCTGGTTCAGTAGAGATCCTGAAACTTTAAGAGGACTGTGCTTCAAACCTTGTTCAAGCCAAGTTCTTGCCTGGCCTTGGATCCCTTCTTGTCCTCCAGGAGCAGCTGGGGGTGCACGTCCTCATCATGGGAGGCTCTGCCCACATCCCTCTGCTCCAGGATCCTTTGGGGGCAGAAGGAGCTGAGCTCTATGTCCCTTCCCCCAGTGTCTCCAGCAGAGGGACTTGGGGGGAGAAAGACTCCTGGCCCAGAGAAGATTGGGAGCTGACAACAGAATGCTGATGGAGCTCCCTCTCCTTCCCTTCCATTAGAACTAAGCACAGTACCCCAAACTAGGGAACTTGGTGGCTTAGTTGTGACCATCCATCAGTGACCCAGCCCAGGACATCAGCCAGCTGGCTAAGGAGAGGATTTGTCAATTCTACAAACTGCTGCTGTACCACAGGTATGGAAACCCAGCTGGGAAACAGAACCCAGTAGAAAAGTGACACTGACAGAAAACAGGCAATAGGACCCCTAAAGAAATGATCCCCTTCCATTGGCCTCAGTTGGAGGATAAGCCTGTCTCTCCCCCTACTCCATTTTGGATCATCCTCTGGCCCCAGGCACCAAAGATACTGTACCCACCATAGAAAGTCCTGCTGTTCAATTTGTCCAGGGATAAAACCCAATGGGAATAGAAGAACACAGCCACCAAAACCAGACAGAGCAAGCTACCAAAGAGAAGCTGGTAAGGAATAGCTGTCATAGGGACATGGAGGGAATGGAGGCCGGAGCTCTTCCAATGGAATTGGGGAAGGGGATCTGGCACTGGAGATCACTAGAGAGGAAGATGACTCCATCCCAAGGTGCCAGCTCCCATTAATCCTCTCTGATTCCTAGAGGCATCCAAGTCTCTGATAGGCCTTTGTTCTCTGGAACAGGAGAATATTATGGCCAAGGTGACGCACCACCACCACTCCATCTCTGGGAAGTAGATTGGCAGGGTGTCTAAAGAGCAGTGAGCAGTCTGGAGAAAGATAGAGAGCCATCCAGGGAAAGCACCCCCAGCAAGGAATGAAGAGGCCAACAGGCCAAATCCCCTAATAGCGTGGAGCACAGAGTGGATTTCCAGATTCCTGGGCATAAGGAGTGGACTGACAGCCCCTTTTGATGTGCATGGTAGCAGAGCGGTGGTCACTGGCAGGTCACGCAGCTCAGAAGTCAATGCCACTACCAGCAACAGCACAGAAGGAAGGATGGCATGTTATGGTATTGCCTCCCTTCCGTGTCACTGGTGGTAGCTCTTCTATCTTCTAATTCAGGCATATGGAAAGGCAGTGCCACCATCAGTAGTAGTGCAGAAGGAAGGATGGCATGGTATGGTATTGCCTCCCTTCTGTATCACTGCTGGTGGCACTACCTTTTAAGGGAGTGGCTGGGGGTATATGGTAACTGGTGAGGCTCTCAACCCAGATGAGAGAGTAGTTCTTGGCAGACCTTTTCCCAAAACTTCCATAGAAGTGGTTGTAGATTCTCAGGGAAGTTTTTCACATTTCAAATATCCTCCTGTATGGACATTGGAGGGCCAAAAAGGAGGTCATGTTCAGGAAAGCTCAGATGCATGGTATGCCTTTCAAACCCCACCGCTAGCAGTACCACAGAAGGGAGGATGGAATGGTCTGCTACTGCTACCCTTCCTTCTGTGCTGCTGCTGGCGGCAGCACTGCTTTCCCAGATGAGCAGCTATAAGGTGGTGGCTGCTGGCAGGACACCCAGATCAGAAATCAACACTGCTGCCAGCCACAGCACAGAAGGTAGGATGGCCTGGTATGACATTGCCACCTTTCTTTCTGCACTGTTGTTGGTAGTGGGGCTGCCTTCTGAGCTGAGAGGCTGCAGAGCAATGGCCTCTGGTGAGCGCCCAGTTTGGATGGCAGTTCTACCCCTAGCAGCAGCACAGAAGTAAGGGTGGTATGGCATGGTGTGACGGGGCGCGCCGCCCCCTCCACAGAAGGTAGGATGGCCTGGTATGACATTGCCACCTTTCTTTCTGCACTGTTGTTGGTAGTGGGGCTGCCTTCTGAGCTGAGAGGCTGCAGAGCAATGGCCTCTGGTGAGCGCCCAGTTTGGATGGCAGTTCTACCCCTAGCAGCAGCACAGAAGTAAGGGTGGTATGGCATGGTGTGACGGGGCGCGCCGCCCCCTCCCCACCGACGCCGGCCCGCCCCGCCCCAA